CGGCTTCACGTTATCTCGCCGCTACTGGCTATCTTTTTGGCTTTTAGCCATCGCTGTCTCTGTTCAGGACTGCTCCGCTGCCGCTTTTCAATGTCTTCTGCTGCTGCTGACAGTAAGGGAACTCTTCCAGCTCTTGATTACGGGACCCGGTCCAGCTTTGACACTGTACCAGGTCTCCCATAGCCTCAGCTGGGGGCTGGGGGCCCTTGGCCCCCAGAGGGGCTCACTGGCCCCCTGCCTCCTCCTGGCTCAGATCATGGCTACCTACCTTCTAAACTATCTTCACCACCTTCTCTTCCGTTTCTGTGGGTATGTAATTTCCGTAGGGCGCACCTGGACTATCGATTGGTCCAGTATTATCAGTGGGGCAAACCATTACTACCTCAGAGAAAAGGTTTTTCAAACCACCACAATCCTTGATTCAAAGATGCAGGAAGGTTGTGAACCTGCCGCCTGTCTTGGTACTGGTTTCACTGGTTGGCCTCCAGCTGATTTACACAGGGGTGCATTTGGGTCCCTCTTCCAGCCTTTAAATTCCCCTTGTCCTTCTTTTCACTACATTAGAGCCCTTCAAGATACTATTTTCTCTTTGTGAAGGTCCTTCAGCTTTGTACCAGGTCATCTGGTGCTGAGCCCTTCAAACCTCCTTGATTTCAGCACTTTTTCTGCACCTTAAATGGTCACTGAGTTCTCCTCTGGGCCACCCTGTTTTACAGACAGCCCTGTGCAGGTTGTGTTGGCGGTCACTGCACCAACTATCCCAGCCCACAGCCGAGTCGCCTTTATGTGCAATTGCCTGTTATACACATGAGGAGCTCTCAGGCTGTTCTTGCTGCCGTGTTCCATGCTGGGGGTTTGTTTCCGTGTCTCTGTGCTGCATTCCCCAGCTCTCCTCAGAGCTGCTGTTTTCTGTGTGTTTCTCTGTGTGTTTTTCCAGCCCCTCGCTTGCTTTCTGGACTCGTGTCCAGAGCAGAAGAACTTAAATATGTATGGGCGCTTTGCTCATGGCCATGCCAGGACCCTGCTCCCCAGGCAGATCTGTCTTTAGACCTTCCCTGGCCACCAGAGCTCTCCACCAGGTGCTGCTGGTTGTCAGCAGCTCCTGCTGAACCGGTGGCTGCTGCCTAACGCTCTCCTGCCTCTCCCTCCTCTGCAGGTGTATCCGTGACATCCAGTAATACAGGCGTGCCGGACATCTCGGGCTCTGTCTACTCCAAAACTCAGGTTAGTGTCTGTGAGTGCTCCCTGCGTGGCTCCGGAGGGGAACTGAGCTCTGAGACAGCCTCCCTGTGCAATAAAGGTCTCTTCCCCTTGGATTGGTCAGCCAGGGAGAAGGGAAATGCTTGACCTTCCCCAGTTTAGAGCAATTCTAAGCCCAGAAAGAGCCATAGGAAGAGACTCTATCCATTCTCTGCATCACACACTGACTCTGGGCCCACGACGTGTACAGCTGGGGAGGGGCACGCTGCCAGCCTGGCTCCCAGCCCTTACTCCACTGTTGGCATCCTCTCCTCAGCAATCCTTCGAGAAGCAGGGATTTCACACTGGAACCCCGGCAGCCTCCTTCAACCTGCCTTCGGCACTGGGCAGTGGTGGCCCCATCAACCCTGCGACGGCGGCGGCGTATCCCCCCACCCCCTTCATGCACATCCTGACCCCGCATCAGCAGCCGCACTCGCAGATCCTCCACCACCACCTGCAGCAGGACGGGCAGGTGAGCGATGCCCCCGGCGCTCCAGCCCCTCGCTGGGGTATCTCCTAGGGCTCTTCCTCCCCCTCCAGCCTCTGCCCCTCCCCCCCCCATGTCCTGCAGCGGACACACGCGGTGACACACACACACACTCTCACACCTGCACATACACACAGAGAGGTGAGAGGATGAGGTGAGGACACACCCGGGGTGTGCTCTGCTGGGGGGGTACTTGGCACAACCCCCCATGCTGCCAGGCTGCACTAGGAATGGCCAGGTAGTGCCCCCTCACGCAGACACACCCGGGGCGTCCCGATCTCCCCTGTCCTCAGAGGGGAGCTCCACAGGCCAAGCAGCAAAGGGGTCACTTGCCACAGCCACGACCCTGCCGGAGCTTTCAGGTCTAACCGTGGATTTCTACTGTCATAGTTTGTCCCTTTATTTTACATATCCTGGTACTGCAACAGCTTCCATATTTGCAGATGATACTGTGCTGCCAACGCCAGCAGGAAGATCAGGTAATGAACTCTCTGATAATGCATTGCACTTGCCCTGGGGTCTCCCCCTGCCCCTAAGGCTGCCCAGGCTCAAGTAGCCTCTTCCTTCTCCCCCGTGGCCGCACAAGGTGAGGACAGAGGCCCTCAGTC